TTCTTTTGCAAATCCACACGATCCCTTATCTCCATTTCTTTATGTCAAGAACCTGGAAACACTGGCCCATTCCCCAGCCATTGGCGACTGTCTTCTGTATGCCTTGCTCCAGCCGTTGGCGACATGTCTTCTCCTTGCAACAGGAGCTCTTTATCCCTCCAGTTGGCTTGCCTTCCTGTTTTCCTGCTCCATATTTAGTTTAAAATTCAAAGCTCGGGGCCCACTACAGAAGTTTAAACATGGATGATGATGTGACCCAGATTCCCTTTAAAACCCTGAATGGACATGGCACCATTGTCTGTGATGCTGGTGCCCTGAGCAGGGCAAGGGGAGTGGTACAGAGAAAGAGTCAGACATTACTGGAGAGATGGAAGACACAGTTTGTGATAGATGGAATTGCTGTCACAGATGGTGGCAAAGAAAAGCAAGATGGCTGTAGTGGGAAGGAGACCTGAGAGAGAGCTTGTCGGTAAAGGGCATTAGGTCTGCAGAGACTTATGGGGACAATGGCATACCCAGGTTTAGGGCTCAGGGTAGACACCTTACTCAGTCAGCAAACTGAGAGGTTCTCTCCTTTCCTCACCTCTCCCCTCCCCGTCTCGCCTCTCCTCTTCTCTCTCCCCATTTCCCTCCCTCTTCCCACTTCTTCATTTCACCCTTTTCTTTCTCTTTTCTCCACTCCTCTATCTCCCCTTTTCTCCCTATCTCCCTTTCTCTTCCTCTCTATCTCTCTTTCTCTTCCCCTCTATCTCCCCTTCTCTCCCTCTCTATCTCTCTTTCTCTTCCTCTCTATCTCCCTTTCTCTTCCTCTCTATCTCCCTTTCTCTTCCTCTCTATCTCCCCTTCTCTCCCTCTCTATCTTCCTTTCTCTTCCTCTCTATCTCCCTTTCTCTTCCTCTCTATCTTCCTTTCTCTTCCTCTCTATGTCCCCTTCTTTCCCTCTCTATCTCCCCTTCTCTCCCTCTCTATCTCCCCTTCTCTCCCCCTCCCTCTCTATCTTTCTCTCCTTTTTAGAGATAGAGTTTCATGAACACCCTGCTTATCTTGGAGAGGCTTTCATTAGCCCAATGTTCAGCGTATGGCTAGAGCTACACTTCAGATCGGGTGCTAGAAGAACTGATCTGTGTTCTGTGGAAGGACTAAAGAAAGAGGGGGGGAAGGTCCCCAAGTTTGAGGTCAATAGGCGCAGGAGACTGGAGGGGATTGTGTCAGTTTGAATTCCAGGAACAGATGACTGCCTAGGGCTGAGAGAACAAAGGGATGGCGAGCACGAATCTGAGGGAGGACACAGAGCATTGCTTGCTAGGATGGGGATCACAGTGTTCAGTCACTGCCTCAGGGATCACCGGCAGCGGGACCTAGACACTCGTTCCCAATGGGCCAAAGGGCTTCCCCACCATCAACACCTGTCTCTCGAATGCCGTAACTGCTTGTTCTGAAACAGAGCCCCAAGGAGGCTCTGGAAGCCCTTGGCAGCTTCCCAGACTCTCTCCTTGGCTGGCCCTTAGGACTTTCACTGGTTTTCTTGTCAACTTGACCCAAACTAGGATTACCTGGAAAGGACCCTCAGTTGAGAAAATGCCTCCATCAGATTGGCTTGTGGGCAAGTCTATGGGGCATTTTCTTGGTTAGTGATTTATGAGAAGAGACCAGCCCGCTGTGGGTGGTGCTATCCCCAGGCACATGATCCTGGGTGGATAAGAAATCAGGCTGTGCGAGCCACTGGGAGCAAGTTATGCAGCAGTGTTCCTCCACGGTCTCTGCTTCAGTTCCTGCCTCCAGGTTACAGCCGTAAGCTGCCGCCCTGCCTTCCCTCAGATCGTTGACTGTAACAGTGCATGCCAGACAAACCTTTTCCTCTTCAAGTTGGTTTTAGTCTGTTTTATCACAGCAGCAGGAAGCAAGCTCAGCCAGTCGCACCCCAAGGCAGGAGCAGGGAGAGAACCGAAAGGCAGCCAAGCCTACTTTCCCATGAGTAACATTTGGGATGCTGAGGGAGCTTGCAGTAACTACCATGTTCCTTCAGTGTAGCAGGTGATGTGTTGGTGTCCGGGACAGTGGGCCAAAGAGTCCTTGCCTTTGAAGAACCTACAGGCTGATGGGGGTAACAGACAAGTGTCTCTACTGTGATCTCTTTCCTGTCTTCCCTCCCTCCCTCCCTCCCTCCCTCCCTCCCTCCCTCCCTCCCTCC